AAAGAAAATGAAGTTTATGTTATTTCTTCCAAACCAGAAATAGGCCCTACTTCTAACATTTTAGAAGCAAAAAAAGATAAACTAGAAGATGTAAGCTTCTGGATTAAACAGAAAAATAAGGGTGGATAGACTGCTTTTTAGTAGTACAAATTAATAAAAATTCTCTAATCGATTAGTTAGCAAATCATCTTATCCAATTAATCGAATAATCGATCTTATTTAACTAATTGATTAGTTGACCAATTGATTAATTGATTAATCGATTAGTTGACTATTCAATTAATTGATTAATTAATTAATCAATTAGTTGACTATTCAATTAATTAATTAATTAATTGATTGATTAGTTGAATAATTGATTAATTGATTAATCAATTAGTTAACTATTCGATTAATTGATTAATCAATTAGTTAACTATTCAATTAATTAATTAACCAATCAACTAGTTGATTATAGCTGTTTTTATAAATTCTGGAACACTCTAAAAAAATTTGCCGAAGTCTGTTTAGCCAAAGTTGATAAGTTATTGATTTTGGTATAATTAGTATAATAAAATAATTAAAAAAAGCTATTTTTGAATTATAATGATTATTATAACAATAATATTAATAATTTTAAAATTTTGTTTGAATGCTTGTCTAACATGTTTGGTATATTTAGTTTGTATGAGAATTTATGGAAAAAACTTTTATATCAACTAATAAATCTTAACAAGAAATATAAAAAGAAATCAAATATAAAATAGACTTTTATAATAAATATATTACTTATACTACTACAGTGCAGGCATTCTTAAACCAACAACTTTTATTAAAGTGACCAAATTTGAGACAAAATACTAACTTCTGATTGGCTAATACCTTGAAATTTTATTATGTTTTTATATATATGTGGCCAAATTTTGGTTTCTATACTAACTTTAAAACAATTCAACCAAATAAAATTATATTTAACTAAAAAAATAAACTTTGTAACTTTGTTCTTTAGGTTTGATTTTATTATTTTACAAATAGATTTTGTTAATATCTACTTTAGTTTTTTATTTATAAGCTTTTAAAAATTATATGTTTTATATGTTGATTTAAAAATACCTGCACTGTATTAAAAAAGTTAAATATGATTATAAATTTGTTAACTGGTTATTATTAAGAATGCATGAAGAATTATGATAAACTAAATTAATAAAAATTTTATATTTATATTTATTTATATATTTTCTTCTTCAACAAAATAATTAGAAATATATAATGTTTTCATTTGAATGAAAATGGATCTTGCCAAAAGAATAGAAATCAAAATTTAGTTTAGTTTTTTAATAATGAATTTTTTGTCTTCAACAAGAAACAAAAAATAATTAGAAATGAATAAATGTCTTTGTTTAAACAAAAATGGATCTTGCAAAGAATAGGATCGAAATTTAGTTTAATTTTTAAAACCAAAATTTTTTTCTTTAGCAAGAAATGAAAAATAGTTAGAAATGAATAATGCTTTATTTGAATGAAAATAGATCTTGCTAAAGAATAGGAATTGAAGTTTTATACAATTTTTTAAAATCTAATTTTTGTTAAAAAATAATTAGAAATAAATAAAGGCTTTGTTTGAATAAAAATAGATCTTGTCAAAGAATAGGATTTGAAATTTTACATAATTTTTTAAAAACAAAATTTTATCAAAAAATAATTAAAAATAAATAAAAGCTTTATTTAAATAAAAATAGAACTTGCCAAAGAATAGTAATTGAAATATTACACAATTTTTTAAACTGAATTTTTGTCAAAAAATTATTAAAAATGAATAAAGGCTTTGTTTGAATGAAAATAGATTTTTCCAAAAAATAGAAATTGAAATTTTACATAATTTTTTAAAAATAAGCTTTCATCAAGAAATGAATAAAGGCTTAATTTAAGTGAAAATAGATCATGCCACAGAATGTTGATTTTAGTCTTACTGCTGTATTGTAATATATATTAGTCACCTGATTTTATTAAATTATATATTTAATATTATCTGTTACTGAATCTTATTATTCTTAAAATCAATAACTTATTGACTTTGGCCAAATAGACTTTGGCAAATTTTTTTAGGGTGTTCCAGAATTTTGAAAATAGCTGTAATATCCAGATAATTATCTGAATACCTTTTGGGTTATCTGGATATCTGAGTAATCTGAGTTATTCAGATAATTCAGATATGAATAACAGATTTACTCAAATTGGAACTCTACTAACTATAAAGAGCCATTAGAAGATTTTAGAATACAAACTAACTTTCTTATCCTAACACTAACTGTAAAGAGCTATTATTAATCGACTAATCAACTAATCAATTAATTGATTAAGTTGGTTAGAAAAAAATAGAATCAATTAGTTATCAACTTGATTAACTAATTGATTTTTCAACTTTTGATTTGTACTACTGCTTTTATTTTATTTTAATTCTATAAACTTACAGAATTAAAATAAAAAATTTTTTATTAAATTTAAATTAATGGTTATTAAGAAATTTTTATTTAAAGTAAAAAATAAAAATTAACTAATTTTTTTGTAAAATTTGAATGTTTTTTTTAAGGGTTTAATTATTTATTGCCATAGCAATGTATCGCCAGTCTATGCGGAGTTCAAAATTTTGATGATTTGTAAGCAAAACTTCAAACTCCACATAGACGGAGTTTGAAATTTTGCTTACAAATCATCAAAATTTTGAACTCCGCATAGACTGGTGATACATTGCTATAGTGATAAATTATTAAACCCTTTTTTAAAAAAATTTCCTAACAACAATTTATCAAATTTTGATATATATTTTTTATTATATAGGCTATAAGAACTATCTAATGAAATATTAATAAACTTAATTGCAGATAGTGTTCTCCAATAGGCTAGCTTAAATATGCTGGCTTAAATAGGCTTACTTAATATTCCTATTGGCTTATTAAGGCTTATTTAGTTTTTATACTATATAATATATAAAAATATTACTTATTTGTATAGTTTATAAAATAAACTATACAAAAAGCAATATTTTTATATATTATACAATATAAAAACTAAATAAACCTTAATAAGCCAATAGGAATATTAAGCAAGCCTATTTGAGCTGGCTTATTAGAAAGTACTAATTGCAGGATTTGCTAGTATGAAAATAAAATCTTACTATAATAAGTTGCACATAGAACAACTGGGTAAGACAATACTTGTAATTTTAAGTAGCAAAGAGAATAGCCCTTTGCAAAAATTTTAATATTTAAAATTAGAATATTATAAAGCCTAACAAAGTAATAGCAAGACTGCAAAAATTTTTTAAAAATATATATATTTTTTATTTTAAGAATTTATTTAGAATTAACCGGAGGTGAAATTCACTGGCCTAAGAATTGTTAGGGTTAGGGTATTTTTATATATAGAGCTAATAAAAGGTCCCAATCTCAGTTCTTATGAGGTTTTCAGGGGTTCTGAACATTTTTACTTAGAGTACCCGATCCCGTTTACTTAGTACATTTTTGAGATACAGCACCCCCGGTGAATTTCACCTCCGGTGAGCATTAAAATCGTCCTTATTTTAATTATATATTTAAAAAAAATTCATTAAGTTTAATCAAGCAGTTACAGAGAAGTCTTCAAAATTTCGTATGACCAATCTACATTTTCAAAACAATCTAATTCTGGTCAAATTTGCAGATCGTTTGGCCTATTGGGGATGAGGTTTAAACTCATCCCCAATAGGCTAAACGATCTACAAATTTATTGGCTATTAGTCGTCGATAGTCGACCGTAGCTAACCGAACCTATCCCTATTCTCAAGCACCTAAATTTATAGGTTGGAGCTCGATTTTTAATTAGTGGAAATAGTTTAATCGATTAAGTGAACAATGAAAAAAAGATGGTCTCTGACCATCTTTTTTATCATAGAGTTGTGCTGATTGGCTAAAACTTAATATCCGCATTTCGCAACATGAATCTTTAGCAAAATTATCGTACAGATTGTCTAAATTAATTATAGTTAGTGATGGGTAATCGGCTGTTTTTCTAGAAATCCCGCGCGGGGTTGGTTTTTCATATTTCGGAATATTACGGAAATGCGTCATAATTTTACCTCGACCTCGGAATATTTAGGAACTCGGCCAGATTTATGACACTGCTTGAATTATACAGCGCGGTGCCCATCACTAATCGTAGTACTTGTGCACGATTCTCGATGATGCTTGAGAGCACCCTAATCTGTTAAATTATATCAAGAATATCGAGTCGACTAAGTCTATAGACTATGATCACTAGAATAAGATATTGTGCGTAAAGACTGTGGCGTGTCTATAACTGACACTTTCTTTTTGGCACAGAGGATATGACAAACCATTATGTGACAAAATAAGAGTTAGCTAGAGGTTGGAACCGGTTTTAAATATTCGAGTTTATCACATCAAAATTCGAGTTTATCACTCCAAAATTCGGGTTTATCACATCAATAATTATTGATAAACTCGAATTTTGATGTAATAAACTCGAATATTTAAAACCGGTTCCAAACCTCTAGAGTTAGCTAATATTAATATAACTTATTAGTTAACTCTTGTTGGTCATACCTAATGATTCATCACATCTCTGTACCAAGTAGAAAGTATATATATGGATTGCTCAAAAGCCATAATAATGAGCAAGCTTCTACCGTTAACTTCTAAAAAAAAACTCAGAGGCTCAGCGGCTGCATAAAAATTATTATAAGGCAAAAGCCTTGGATATCGGTTTCCTTAAGAAACGTTTTCAGACTTTCAAATGCCGATTCACTTATTCACTTGCTGCACAATTCGATTGTCTTCCAATCACACTTTATAATTTAGGATGAAACTAGTGTAGGCCATTCTTAGTTAAATGAAGAGTTTGGCATAAACTATTATAATTCGGCAGGGATATGCTAGTGGAAATCCGGTTAAGCCAGAATTAGCCTTTAATCCTAATCAGGGATGGAGTCAGATAAGTAGATCTGAATTAGCTGCCTAATGGGTTTACGTTACGCGAACATGCAGTACTTCCGTTGGGGCTCAATATTATTTAATTCTGATAGCCGACATATAGTCATACTTGATATTCATCATTTGGGCTGCCGTAAATAGAAATCAAGCAGATTGTCATTTTAAAAAAAATTATGCCCTTTTTTTTGAATATTAATTCATCAACATAGCCTCAAAATTCATCGTGATGTAGGTTGTGAAAATTAAGGGATTAATTTTTTTTAAAATGCTAATTCTCTTTATTTCTATTGACGGCAGCCCACATTACATCATAGATTACTAAATAATATAGTTATTTATTATAGAAGGATTATTTATTGTACAGTTTATTACTGTTTATAAATGCTCAGCAATATAAGTTAATAAAAATGTTTCGCTAGGTTGGCAGTGCAATTTATTGTTTACTTTTTTAATAAGTAATCTTGTCAATGAAGACAATTAATAGATTATGTTTATAAACGTAATATATATATATTGTTGATATTTCCACCAATTGAAATGCTGGATTTTTAATTTGTAATTTTTTTAACGGGCTTAACATTCTAATTATAGAGCAAGATCATGAGATTATTGTGTAATCTCGAACCCATTAACATAAAATTATAAAATTATTTTTTAATTTAATAAGGAAAAAGAAACGTTAAGTTCTAATAGAAACAAAAGTTTTTTTGTATTTCGTGACTCATGACATTTTTGTGTTATTTAATATAAAAACAATAAATTATCGTTCTACACAAAAATCACATTATCTCAATTGATAGCATCATTTATTTACATTGGTCTTGAACATTTCATTAGCATTTTATTGCCTAAAAAATTAATTTTTAAACAAGAATAGAAAAATGAATTTGTTTTATCGATAGATCACTATGCCATGAGGTATGACAAGATTTTATTATAGATGTTGGAAATAGTTATGTAGTGTAACAAACAAAACATATCTCTTTGTTTTTTTTTGTGTAAATCATAACAATAGATCTAATTGGATATACTATGGGATTTGAATTTCCAGTGGGTTACTTCAAAGAAATATTTAGGATAGATTAATTCATTCATAAATAAGAATATAAAAATGTATATATTTCTTTCTTGTGTATTGATTGAGTTTAGCAGGTGAGTGTTCATATCCATAATACAATAAACGTTCATCATTTAAATTTCGAAATAAGAATGATGGCGTGAGCAAGTTCATGTAACACGACTTATCGCCACACACATATTGATATACTGTATATTATGTACGTACGTACGTACCTGATCGTAAAATTGATTTTGCAATCAGATACTACTTATGCGTTAATGTATTATTTTGATAATATTAAATTATGTATTGCAGAAGCACTTCACTTTTCATTATAATTTACCAATTTCGATAAATGTTATTTTTGTAATCGATAAGATTTTATTCTAAAAAGAAAACCTGGTTCAATTGTTTTTTTTTCCAAATACATACATCAAAAAAAAAAAGGAAATACATGAAAATATCATAACATATACACATATTTTAATAAAATTAATTAATTACACATTTTTTTAAAAAAATATCAAAAAAAAAAAAAGCAGCAATGAATTTTTGGTTTTCGATAATAAAATAAAAAAAATTTAAAGTTTACATAATTTTTTGATTATAAAGAAAGAAAAAAATAAATCTTAAACTTTTATACTTAAACATTTTCCTATTTAAACGTTAAAAAATGGTTGAAAATCAAAGTTGAAATCAGGAATACCATTTAGAAAGAAATTATCAATGTTGTTACACATAAAATGTTCTTGCGAGAAATGTGATATTTGAGGTACAGCTTGCAAATTTAGATTACTAAAACAAAAATTATCATTATCAGTTGTCATTTGATTTTGATCTGAGTAGTTTATAGAAGGAGATGGTGGTTGAAATTGTGTGTTTTCAATTATGCCTTCGTCCTTGGAAAATAAATGAGTAACATGACGGCCTCTTGGTACCAAATATAATGTCGAAAAGGTTCCTCTTACGTTTTTATGTTGATTAGTTGGTGAAGTATTTTGTTTGGTTTTAGGCTTTTTGAGATTTCTTTTTTTTGTTTCAGAATTCTTACGTTTAGGTCTAAAGTTGTTTAGTTCATTAGTTTGCCTCTCTTCGTCAGATTTTTCTGGTTCATAATTTTCACAGTTAAAAGGTAAAGTCGAAGAATTTGAAGGATCTTCTAAAATTTCTTGATCGTTAGAAGCATAAGAAGATTTGTTACATAAATCCATAATTTCGAACTCTAAATCATCACCAAAAAACTCAGGTTCTTCTTTATTTTTCGTTGATTCAAAAAATTCTCTAAGCTCGCTTATTAATTTTTTTAATTGACCCTCAATAAACACCAATCTATCAATAAATTGTTGAAAATCTTGAACGTTTGCAGTTCGTCGCCTTCTTGCATTTGAATATTTACATTCTTCACCATGTCTTGCGCAATATGAGCAAGGTTCTTTACTCACGAAATCACCGCCTGTGCATTTCTTTTTCATGCTCCTACACTTGTCACAGGCTATAATAGAAATTTTTCCTCTCTTTTTTGTTTGTTTTTTCTGAGAAAGTTCTAATCGTTCTTCTACGGATGAAGTAGACCAATTTTCATCTGAATCTTCGAATTGGTTTGCAGGAGGCATTTGTAAATTTTTTAAAATTATCGGTTTAAAATTGTTGTAAACTCTCAAGTTAAAGAGTAGTGTAGATTTTTTTTTAAAAAAAACTCTTCAATAACGTTCGTTCAAATAAGCTCTAAGACACTTCGTTCAAAAAAAAGGATTTTTAATAACGTTTCGTTCAAAAAGGCTCTTTAATAGTGCTTCGTTCAAAAAAGTAGTTTAGCTTCTTTTTAGAATTAAAAAAAAAACTTCGAAAAAAAAAGCTTTTTAATCAAGTTCGTTCAAGAAAAAGATTTACAAAAAAATTTTTTTTTTGTGTGTGCAAAAACAAAAAAGATTTTATAACAAATATTTTAAAGTAATATCATAAATTATGAGATCACGAGATTTGAAAAATTCGGTTATTTGTAATTGCTCATTGTTATTGACATTATTCAGTTATTATTGACAAAAAAAAGGAAATAATTGAAGAAGTTATATCGTTTGCTATATTTGGTAAGTGCATTGCATAAAAAACCGCTCACTTTCTTTTATGTTATGTTACAAGTATATCGGCTCACAAAAAGTTTAAAAAATAAATTTGATTTGAGAAAATGAAATCCAGAACTATAATGTGGAATGCGAATAAGAAGTGTGTTACGCACCATCATGCATGATCAGCATGTATAATGTACATACGGATATATATCGCTTTTACTTTAGTTGTTAGCATCGTTTACTATTATTATTACTTGTATAAATTAATATTGTATTGAGTAAAATACAATATATTTTTTTCAGTAATTATATTTATCATTTAAAGATCCCCAAATTTTGAATCAGTTAATCACTCAAAAGATTTTCAGTCGTTTATCCTGCTTATTAATTATCAAAGAAACTTTTACCATTAAAAGTTAATAAAATAAATTTAAATAAAATAAATTTTCAATTCAGTTAGGGTGTGTGGCACAACGGTCATGAGCATGCCTTAAAAGAAAATAGATATAAGGCATGCCACTTATATATATGCGTATGTCTATTATCGGAAAATTTCGGAATAATGGATAGTTGACGAACATAAAATATGGGCAAGTTACTGGGATTTGGGGTTTTGGATGGGTTGATATGATGGCATACCAGGGTGGAATCCTAGCATGGGATTTGTCAGGTGGCATGCCAAATCTTTTTTGCCGTGCCACTCCCTAAATTCAGTTCGATAATTTATTTTAATTTAAATGACTTGATAAATGACCGGTATAATACATCATAATGGGATCGCACAAGAATTATCAAGAAAAATTACATGATTTGAAACGAGTATATGCTAACTATTATGCATAACACATAGAATTATATATATATATATTGTACAATATTTTTTAATGATTTTATCATAAAGCTTTTAATAAATAATGTGAGTACACCTCCGATGAAAATATCGTGTGAGGAGATGTAATATAAATCCGAATATGAGAGTCAAGCGAAAACCAGGAATTGTGAGTTTTCCGAAATTAATTTTACAGATCAACCCCGAAAAATGTGATTTAACACCATATTATATATGTTGTGCTTAACTTTCGCTTGGCGGCACTCATATATGGGACCCCCCACAGCAAAAGGGGGCAGTGGGCCAAAAAAATTTTATTTTATTTTAATTTATTTCTTGAAGAATTAGAACAATAGGGATATAATTTTTATAAAATTACAAAATTGAAATTTTTGTCCCACTGCCCCCTTTTGCTATGGGGTCCCCATATATGCGTATTATTATCCCGATAGCGGTGATAATAGGTGAATTTACATTTCATGATGTCCGACATATGATTTAACTTCCGCCAATGTCTCCGATAAAATTTATTTGTTGTTTACAATATAATAAAGTAAAATACCGGTGCAATGAAAGCATCCAAATTCGCGCGCCGCATCTAATTATGCCTATTTCAGTCATCTAAATGTAAATCACGTGAGACATGTCGGGGTTAATATGCGGAAGATTCAAGATTACCGCGCTTAATTGATCGGAAGATCATGACGATAACGGTAAACAAACAATTTACCTTATGCCGCTCCTGATTTAATTGGTATCACATGATCAATTGTTAGAGAAATTTTGATTGAAAAAACAGGTTTTGTTTTTCTTTTATTTTTTCTTTTTTAAATAAATATCGATTTATATGGATGTAATCGATCTATACAAACGTATTTGATTTTTAGTCACGATAAATTCTTTCATTGGTTCAAAAAAACTTGATTCAATAAAACAGTTCATAAGTGTGCAGTACGCAGTATAAAAAGCATAACATAACATATTGATTTTTAGAGTCAAGTTAAAGTTTGCAACAACAATATCAACTAAACAACAATTACCGTACTCCATCGTAAATTAGCACCATATCTTCTACCCCACTTTTTAAATGTCAGATTAGCGGAGGTTTTTGGCCAAATTATTCCCGCTAATCTGATGTTTAAAAAAGTGGGTAGAGGGTGCTTATTCACAATTGAATACGGTATACAATCAAAGCTTGACTAAATTGTAAAAATATTCCGATATAGCGATATGCCCTTATTAGATTTTTATCTCCGAATAGGAAAACAGTTTGCATCCGTTATCTGTTATCTATAAGCGTGTTGCTATCTCTATAGTGTATGTAAAAACACTTTTAGAGAAATATCCTATCGGAATTTTTGACTTAATTGGTAAAAATTTTCAAGATGTAACAATCATTTATTTAAGATTACTTTGTGGCAAAGGAACAAAGAACTTTTAGAGCACAAAAAAAAAAAAACAGACCTGCATTTGTTAGTACCTTGTGATCAAAGGTTGGATGTCTTTATACAAGAATTTTAAATTCGAATTACATTTACAAAATTCCTATATTTAATTATTCATTAGATAAATTATTTTCTTCATATCCTAATTTTGCCCAGTACTAATACTGCTTTACTCAAAAACTTATTTTTAATGCATGATCATGCAGATAAAAATAAATAGTTAACTTTGATACAACTTCGAACATACTTAATGATATGGGGTCTTTGCCTTGAAAATGACCTTACGGTACATGATACCGTAAGGTCATTTTCAAGGCAAAGACCCCATATGTAAGTTTCATAAATTGATTTTTGAATTCATTATATTAAAGGTAAATTATTGAAAGTTTTTTTTTATTATCTCATGGCTCTCTAATTTAACCAAAGGTAGTCGTAGCGATATTTACGGATCATTAAATCCGCTTGAATAACGCGATAGCCCTATTACTATTATTGTACATGAAAAGTTGTTCTATTCCTCGAGATAATATATTTCATTAAACAGTAATATATAATATATATATTACGTTATAATTCATAATCGGAAGTCGGAAATCATTGAATTCTAGATAGATATTTTTGTTAGAATTATCCCGAACTATCCCTATAAGGAATGGTTCATCATAAGGAACTGTAAATATTGTAAATCATTACCAATTATAAGAATGATTTTTGTTTCGATCTATAACAATGATGAAAAAAATCATTTGTTTGATATATAAATTACAAAGTGGATTTTCAAGTATCGGATACTTCACTTCACCGAATAGGGCCTTCTAGAGAAAGAACATGAACAGAAAATTTAAGGTTCGGGTATTTCGATAATTAGAACAATCGTAAGGCCGAAATAATCATCTGTAAGTAGTATGTGTCTTTTTTTCGAATAGATAAGAAATTTGATGACTCTAACTATAAATATTTTCATTGTCATTTTAAGTTATATTCAGGCTGCATAGCTTGCTATAATTCCGGTTTACAGACTGCACAGCCCATCTCTATGGCTTAGCCTCTATCTATAGATGATCTACATCATACGTATGGGCGCATTTTCATTAATGTGATACTGTATTTGTGAATTTTGTGATTATCTTGATTTTAAACCAATCAAATACATATTTAATTTCCTATTTTGGATTTGGCAATCTCTAAAGAGAAATTTAAGATGTGATTATTATTGTAAATAATACCTTGTTAACATACTCCTCCACGATTTTACCTGGGATTAATCAAGTATATTTTGTAGCATGATTGTAAAAGACCCAGGTATACAGTATTTGAAACATATGCGCCAAGTATTTACTTATGATTGGTTAACTTTATTAACTTTATTGCATTTAAAGTATCCCTTACGTAAACCCCCCTTATAAATACCCACGGAATACTAATCAAGAGACTCGGGTACTACTACGATATGTATGTACGTACCAACGTACGTGATTTATCACATTTCAACTGATCATCAAATGCGTCAAATCGGCCCATATACTATTGTATTGCATGCGAAGGAGTGATATCAATCACATGTTATTATCATGGACCAGTTTTCTAAGGAGCTAGTAATCCAGATTTTGCTCTGTAACATTAGAATACTTCCGAGAGTATGAAACAAATGTGAAAAATTCTGAATATACTGTATTTTGTTATATGGGGCGTCGTCAATTAAACCTGCCCATATTGTATATAATCAATTTTAAGTAATGATCTACAAATAGTAACACAATTTTCAACCTTCTTATTGTAATTCGTAACTTAGTGCAAACTTTTTCATTTAATATACGTATATCTATTCAATGAAAAATATTTGAAAAATTGTAAAAATAGGATATTTTAATTGACGACACCCCATATAAGGTTTAACAGAATTCCAACACAAAATCATAAAGATATTTCGATATAGTATTAGGCAAGAATAATTTGGACATTAGTCGAAATTATGCATTATTCGTTAACACTTATATAATTAGCATTCAATTTGTATGCAAATATTATACTTAAAATATTTCCTATTCAAGCATTCGTTTTCGTTTTTTTGTATTTGCAACTTCAGGTTGCATTGACTAAAATTAGCCTCTGAAACTGGATATTTTTACGTACATGTATATATTAGTTTGTAACTTTACGCAAGTGTAACTTCAGGTGCAAATACCAGTTTCATCACATTTGTTTTCACACTTTTTTATTATCTGGTGATCCTGCTAATTTGGCATAATACCGGCTCATTCCCGAAAAGT